AGTCACATCCCAGGCACTCCTTTTGTCAAAACCTTGTACAGACAGAATATCCAATAGCAGAAGATGGAATTTTCAATCCAAGTGATGATCTTTTGAAATAATTTTCAAGAGTCCTAAGAATTTTTTAACCAAAGACAGCTCGACCAAGTAACACAAATATAATACTTGTAAGTATCACAGAGGCATGGACTTCTTATAAGCTGGTCGGTTTCAAAACTCAGTTCTGTAAGTAATCTATATTTACACCCGTAATATCAACCATTTCCATTACACAGCTCTAATAGGAATGGTATTTAAAATAGTACTAGCGAGTAAATACAACCAAAATACCATAGGTAGTGCTTTCCAATTCAGATAATTCAAACCAAAGACACTTACATCTGGGTTATCGCAGCCAATCATTTCTCCATAAGAAACCTGGTGACACAGACAATACGTGGGTTCATTGGGATCAACTGGCATGTCCAACACATCAGATGGGTGCATTTTCAAAATGGATTCAGAGTATTCTGACCTAGAGAAGAAAATACAAAATAAATTCCAGACACAACCTCAGACTGCTCTTTGCCCTCCTACAGAGAGACAATACCAAAAGCTTAACATGTGACATACCCTCAGCTTAAGGGGATTGACTTACTGAGCTGCTAATAAAATCAACTACTCAAATAAGGAAATTCCAACCATCACTTGAAGCTCCAATGCTGGTCTCAATAAGTGAGATTGATAATTTTATTTCTATACCAGCTTTCATCACCTCTGAATATCCCAAAACACTCTACAACCAATTAAGTACTTTTGAAGTGAAGTCACTGTTAAAACTTAGAAACATTCTCTGTAATGTGTTAACAATAACACTCATTGCCAAATTAGTATATGATATGAATAAAGACAATTTTGTTACCTACTTCATTTGATGCATTGATAAGAGTCCTACTGAGCATTGTGAACAATATGAATCACTTCCAGAGCCACAGAATTGTTACAGTATGTGCGCACTGGTCCTCCAAATGAGCACAAGTGCAATTCTCCTGCCTTCTCTGTAAACTGATACATTCTTCATTTTTAGATAACAGCCTTTCAAGTACTTCAATAGAACCTGCTTTCACCACACTCAGGCATTGTATTCCAGAGCTTAACCGATCGCTGTGTTAAACATGCCACTTTTGTTTCTTTTGCCAATTATTTTAAATCTGTGCCTTCTTGTTCTCAATCCTTGTTAATAGGTGGGACATAACTCCTTCTAAACCAAATTAAAATGCTTAGCTATATTGCGATATAAAGTTGCTCAAAATTTCCTCTCAGACAAATAATTAAAAGCTTTGAAAGTGACAAGTGTGAAAGACAATACTGCACTTTAAATCAGCACCTGAAATTGCTTCCATCACAATCAACACCTGTTCAAATTATGCACATTTCTCCCTCATTCATTAAAGTTGTTCAAAACATTTCTCATGTTAAGCACTCAAATCCCTACCAAACAGGTACCAGACTGAAATCCTTGAGGGCAAGAATAGAAATCATTGATGTGACTGTTGTCTTTACAAAAACACTCCTCTATTGTTATTATATTCAACAAGGGAGACAGGTCTGATTACAATCTCCAAAGTCTCCCGGCACACGGTCATCTTTCCACATCAGAATTGTGCACTGCCATATTTGGGCATAAGTAAGCAAGCTACAGCGTGGGGGGGTCTCACATTATGAGAGGCCTCTAAATATGAAAACAAAATGACTAAATTTGAAACTGCATAAATCAGTTGAAGATTAAACGGAAACTCAACTTTACAGCACAGGAGGCCATTCAACCCTTTGTGTAGGTGATGGCCAACAAAGAGCTCATTACTCTAATCCCACTTTGCAACTATTGGCCATAGCCCCGTAGACTATGGCAACACATGAGAATATATAAATACTGCTGCAATGTTACAAGAGTTTCAGACTCAACTATCCTTTCAGGCAGTGAGTTCCAAATACCTACCACCCTGTGAGTGAACAAGTTTAGCTGAAGTGTCCTTTTTCCCCCAACTATCAACATCCTGGAGGTCACCTTTGACCAGAAATTGAATAGGACTAGCATTGTAAATACTCTAGCCTCAAACAGGGAAAAGGCTTGGAATCCTGCAGCAAGTAACTCACCTCCCAATTCCCCAAATCCTTGCCATCACTTATAAGGCACGAGTCTGGATGAGTGCAGATCCAACAGCATTCAAGAAGCTTGACACCATCCAGGACAAAGCAGCCTGCTTGATTGGTACCACATCCATAAACATTCACTCCCCACCACCACTCAGCAGCAACCATTTACAAAATGCACTACAGAAATTCAACAAGTGTCCTTCAGACACCCCCTCCAAACTAGGTACCTGGCAGCAAATACATGGGAACACTACCATCTGCAAGTTCCCCTTGAAGCCTCTCACCATTCTGATTGTGAAATATATTGTCACTCCTCCAATGTGAATTGGGTTAAAATCCTGGAACTCCCTCCCTAATGCATTGTGGGTAAGTACACCAAAGTGATTGCAGTGGTTCAAGAAGGCAGCTCACCACCACCAATATCCCATGAGTGAATGAAAACTAATTCATCTGTCCAATGATTTCTTTTTAAAAATTTCTTCTTCATAGGGCATGGGAATCACTAGCAGGCCAACAATTATTACTCATGCCTGCTGACACGATTGACAGCCAACTTCTATACTTTAGGACAATAGCTTGGGATGTAATACTTTATCCGTGGATAAGTGTCCAGCAACCTTGGACATCAGTTTAGACAATGCAGAAGCCATACAGCTATAGCTGAAATTAAATGATAAATCCTGTAACAATCTCCACCTAAAGTCATTCCAAATTTCATTGCAAAAGCTCAGCCTTGTTTTACAAAGGGAGAAAAAAAAATTGACTATTACTAGTCAAGAATCTAAGATTATCAAAGGTAAGCAGGAAAGTTGAGTTGAGGTCACAATCAAATCAAACATGAATGCAGAGTAGGCTGAAGGCCAAATGGCCTACTCCTGCTCCTAATTCATATGCACATATAACTACTGAGTAATGCTAAGTAAACTTAAAAGTCAGATTAGGCATGCTACTCATGGCAAGATTAACATCAGCATTCTCTTCCTCCTGAAAAGGGCTGATGCTTCCTACACACTGTCTGAATGTCATGTTAAGCACCAGTCCAGCAGCAATATGTTAACCAAACAGATTCAGCATGTGACTTCCAAAGAACAAACCCATATTCCTCTGAACTGTAAAAAGATGAACCTCACCTCTCACATCCTGCCCTTTTCAAATAAAAGCTGGAGAAGGGGTATTTTAGATTTGCATATTCCCAATATTTGATAAAGAACTTGGACCTCTGGTAACTGTGTTGATATTATAGAATGATGTTGGTGAAGTGAGAAGAAATGATAAAATGAAACAAAAAGTTCAACACTGTCGTTTATAACGAGTCAAACATCCACCCTACCCTGCTTTCTGCTTCTTCTTCTTTGGTATATCATCATCTGATCCCCGTCTGCCACGGCCCCGAGAGCCCCTCCTGTCTTTCTGGCCTCTGCCTTCTATAAAAAAAAAGGGAGAGACAGAGAGAAATGCATGTTAGTTGTGCTGGTAAATAGGATTTACAGGTGGTACTATGTCAGTTAGCTTTAGTATTGAGTTTCCACTCTTCTTTTTCCCTTGTTGCTAGCTCATGAAGGGTTTCAATTTATTCCATTGTTGGGTCTTAAAGAATGGAATGTAAAGAATGGAGTAAAATGGAAATTGCTGAAGATACTCAGTAGGTCAGGCAGCATCTGTGCAGAGAAAAACATTTATCACTTCAGATTAATTATCTTTAATCAGAAGTGGGAGTTAAAAATGTAATAGGGTTTTTAAAAGAAAGAAAGAAAAAACAGCCATGGACAAGTAAAGAGATAACAGACAGCATAAAATTAAAAGAAATGGCCTACAAAAATGCAAAACAAAAAGAAAAATCCTGCTGAACGGGAAGGCTACAAACAGCAGCAAAGGGCCACAAAGCAGCTTATAGAAGGTATCAAAAGGGATTAGACTATAAAATATAAGAGTAGAATTAGGCTATTTGATCCATTGGATCTGCTCTGCCCTTCAATCATGGCTGATGTATGTTTCTCATCTCCATTCTCTTGCCTTAATCTCCTTACTAATCAAGAACCTTTCTATCTCAGCCTTAACACTCAATGACTTGGAAAGGAAACTTGCCAGGGATGTCATAGAATCCTTACAGTGTGGAAACAGGCCATTCGGCCCAACAAGTCCAAAGAGCATCCCATCCAGACCCACCCTCTACCCTATCCCTGTAACCCTGCATTCCCCATGGCTAATCCACCTAGCCTGTTCATCCCTGGACACTACGGGCAATTTAGCATGGCCAATCCACCTAATCTGCACATCTTTGGACTGTGGGAGCAAACCGAAGCACCCAGCAGGAAACCCATGCAGACATGGGGAGAATGTGTAAACTTCACAAAGACAGTCACCCGAAGGTGGAATCAAACCCGGGTCCCTGGTGCTGTGAGGCAGCAGTACTAACCACCTCAGCCACCGTGCCATCCCAAAATCAGAAGAAATTTTATAGTTATATAAAAGGGAAAGTTGGCAGTCAGGAGCAATGATGACTGACTAAAGACTGAAAATGAGGACGTTGAAAATTACAATGAGGAAATGGCAGACATTTTGAATAATCATTTTGCATCTGTATTTACGGTATAATAGGAGGATAAATTGCTAGAAGTCCCAAGGAAATTAATAGTTGATTGGGAACAGGGATAGAATAAAATTGACGTCAGTAAAACACAGGCAATGAGGAAATTAATGGAATTGGGTAACAAAGCCAGAGACCTGACAGTTTCCATCCAAGAGTTATAAGTAAAGTATGGAAGCACATTATAAATGCTGTAACTATAATCTTTTAGAGTTCACTACATAGTGGAGTCGTCCCTCTGGATTGGAAATTCACACATCACACTTGTTTTTTAAAGAAGGGCGAATGAGGAAAACAAGAGAATTACAGACCAGTTAGCCTAACATCTGTGGTGAAGAAATTGATGCTGAGTCCACAATCAAGGATGGGGGTAACGGAGGACCTTGGAAATTTTCAGTGAATCAGGGATAGCCAAGAATGGATTCACAAGAGGTAGGTTATGCCTGACAAACCTCATTTAAACTTTTGAAAGGTAACGGGCGTCAGGAATGTCTATGCATGCTGTTTATATGGACTTCGAGAAGACATTTGATAAAGTCCCACATGACAGACTGTTAACTAAGGTAGAAGCTCACAGAATTGAGGGCAAATTATCAACATAGTTGGGAAATTGGCTGAGGGGCTGGTGACAGAAAGTAAAAATAATCGTTAGGTACTCAAATTGGCAGATGTGGCCTGAGATCGGAGAGACAAATTTTTGTTAAGCACAAATATTAAAGGGATTTGAGCCAAAGGCAAGTATATGAAGTTAAGCCACCTATCTACCATACTCTCACTGAATGGTGGAACAGGCTCGTAGGGCTGAATGTTCCACTCCTGTCCTTCTGTAAGAGTGGTAGTGTCGGCAGCAGGTGTGTGCGCGTGCCTGTGTGTATGAGAGTGATTGGGATGGTGGCAAGGCAGAATAAGAATAAGAGAGGAGATAGGGTGTAAGGTGAGAGATTGAGTGACACAAGGGTTGGTGGTGCAAAGGTGAAGGGAATAGTAATGGTACAATTAAAAAAAAAAAAATCAAAAGACTCATCTACCACTTGTCTGGGAGTGAGGGTGCTGTAGGGAGAGAGAGGAATCCTTGATTGAGGAAAATGGAGGACAAATGAGAAGAGCTGGAATGGAAATTTGCATTACGATTAATTCGCCTTTCACCGTCCATTCCATTTCCCATAGTTCTTGTCCCTTTCCACTTCCTCTCAGAATCATGATAGGATTCCCACACCTTCCAGATTCTGCCATCTTCAGCATGATTACACCACCAAACACACCTGCCCCTCTCCTCAACTTTCAGCATTCTGAAGGGGCACTTCATGACACACTGATCCACTCACTCAATCACTCCTAACACCCTTTCCCCTTTCTTCAGAATCAAGGTAACAATAAAGCTCGTGATAATCAGAGTAAGGCAGAAAGAAAAGATGATTGCAAAAATATCCCATCAGATAGTGCTGAGATAAACAAAAACAATAAAAACAAAGTTAATTAAGGGCTCTGTATCTGAATGCCCACAGCACTTGCAATAAAATTGATAAATTATCGGCTTAAAAAGAAGCTTTATAGCCATTACAGGAGGCGTGGTTACAAGAAAACAAGCTGAGACTTGAAAATGCAAGAGTGTGTCACTTTCAGGAAGGAAAGGAAGCTGGGACAAAAAAAGTGATGAGGTAGATCTGTTGATTAAAGATGCAAAACCATTATAGTGAGAGATGACCCAAGTTCTAAAGTTGAAGACAGAATCAGTTTGACGGAACTAAGAAGCAACAAGAGTCAGTCAACTTCCACAGAAACTGTTTCTAGGCCATCAAACTGCAGTGAATATGTAAATCAAAGAATAAAATCAGGAAATTAAAGACGTGTAACAAAAGGTAATACAGAAATCTTGACAGACTTCAACTGACACAGTTGTGAAGCATGACTTCTTGGAATTGTAGCACGATAGTTTTCTGGAGCTGTATGTCGAGGAACCAATGAGAGAAAGGGCTATTTTAGATCTAGCGATGTGCAATGAAAATGGGCCAATTCATAATCCTGTCACAAAACACAGTCTTCAGGAAAGAATGACCACAATAAAGCAGCTTATACATTAAGTATGAAAATGATGTAGTTGAATCTGAAACTAGGGTCCTAAATCTAAACAAGGAAAATTATAAAATGTTGAAAGTGGGTATGGTGAATTGGTAAAATGTTAAAAAGGTATGACAGTAAATGTTAATCATTACCTGTCTAAAGATCAATACATAGTTTACAACAAAATTACACTTTTTCACATGCACAAACACTACAAGAAAAAATGCTCTAAATGTGGCTAACAAAATAAATCTAGGCATTAGATCAAAGAAAGAAGGCCTATAAAAGTTACCAAGAGAAATGTGTCTTACTACTTTGATTGAGTTTTTTGAAGTAGTAACGAAGAGGACTGATAAGGGCAGAGCAGTGGCCATGATCTGTATGGACTTCAGCAAGGCATTTGACAAGGTTCCTCATGGTAGGCTGGTTAGCAAGGTTAGATCACATGGAATAGAGGGAGAACTAGCCATTTGGATATAGAACTGGCTCGAAAGTAGAAGACTTTGGTGGTGGAGGGATGCTCTTCAGACTGGAGGCCTGTGACCAGCAATGTGCCACAAGGATTGGTGCTGGGTCCAAATAATTTATATTAATTACTTGGATGTGAACATAGGAGGTATGGTCAGTAAATGTGCAGTCAACACCAAATTTGGGAGGTGTATTGGACAGCAAAGAAGGTAACCTCAAAGGACAATGGGACCTTGATTAGATGGGCCACTGCGTTGAGGAGTGGCAGATGGAGTTTAATTTAGATAAATGTGAGGTGCTGCATTTTGGAAGGGCAAATCAGGGCAGAACTTATATACTTAATGGTAAGGTCCCAGGGAGAGTTGCTGAACAAAGAGACCTTGGGGTACACGTTCAAAGTTCCTTGAAAGCGGAGTCGCAGGTAGACAGGTTGAAGGTGTTTGATATTCTTGCCTTTATTGGTCAGTGCATTGAGTATGGGAGTTGAGACGTCATGTTGCAGCATATATTTGTACAATACATTGGTTAGGCCAGTTTTGGATTACTGCGTGCAATTCTGGTCTCCCTGTTATAGGGAGGATGTTGTGAAACTTGAAAGGTTCAGAAAAGATTTACAAGGATGTTGCTGGATTTGGAGAATTTGAGCTGCAGGGAGAGGCTGAATAGGCTGGGCTATTTTCCCTGAAGCGTTGGAGTTGAAGGATGACCTTATAAGGTTTATAAAATCATGAGGGGCATGGATAAAGGGGATTATACAAGGTATTTTCCCCAGGGTGGGGGGACTCCAAAACTAGAGGGCATAAGTTTGAGGTGAGAGGGGAAGGATATAAAGGGGGCCCTAAGGGACAACTTTTTCATATAGAGGGTGGTACGTGTATGGGATGAGCTGCCAGAGGAATTAGTGGAGGCTGGTACAATTACAACATTTAAAAGGCATGTGGATGGGTATGTGAGTAGGAAGGGTTGAGGTATATGAGCCAAATGGGACTAGATTTATTCAGGATATTGGTCAACATAGACAAGTTGGACCGAAGGGTCTGTTCCAAAGCTGTACAGCTCTATGATTCTAAATGGCAATTCCTGTGGATTGGAAAGATTTTAGAATTCTGCAAAGGAAGACCAATTAAAAAGATTACAAAAAAGGGAAAATAGGAGAGTAAACTAGTGAAATACGTAAAAGTGAACCTTAAAAATCTTCCATAGTATATAAATCAGAAAAGATTAGTAAAAACAAAAATAAGTCCATTACAAGTAGCGTCAAGAGAATTTATAATGGAGAATATGGAAATGGCAGACAAACCAACGAAATACTGTGTGTCTGTCTTCATAAGACAAATGTTAAAAATCTCCCCAAAAAGGTGGAGATTGAGGGACTAATGCAAATGAGGAACTACAGGATATTACGAGAAGTTTAAAATTGTAATACAGAAGTTACTGGAACTTAAAGTGAATAAACACCTTGGATCTCATGATTTCCACTTGAAGAGTATTGAATGAAGTGGCTGTAGAGATAGATGTGTTGGTAGTTATCTTTCAAATTTCAATAGCGTAGATGGCAGTGTTGACTCTGAGTGGCTCAGAACTCAAACATAGACAGACTTCTCTTTCAGCTATATCTTTTTATTTTTTCTTTTTCTTAAACTATTAAAATGGTGCTGTATGTGGCAACTTGACTCACATGAAAGCTTTTCACTATTTATTGTATTTCTTACTGTAAAATACGTGATAATAAAATCATTCATTTGAATTTTTATTGACTTTGGAAAAGTTCCAGCAGACTAAAAGATGACAAGTCTAACTCCTGAATACTACAGACTTGTTTGCCTATCATGAACCATATGGAAAATGCTACAATCTGTAGTGAAAGATATTCAAGCACATACTTATAAAATAATTGTAAGATTGGGCAGTGTCAATATGGATTTATGAAAGGAAATCACAGCCCAATCAAAGGCAAAGGCAGTCAGTTCAAGCAACAATTAGGGATGGGCAATAACTGTTAGCCTACCAGTGCCATCCACATCCCACTAACAAACAGAAAGCTTGACCCTGTCCCAAGCTTCCAGATGTCTTAATTCCCCATCTTGTTCCCAAGCTGGCCCGTTTGTCTTTTGAGAGCACTGTTCTAATGAAGCTTAACATAGATTTGAGCATCAGCATCTCATTTATTAGCTAGGCACTTCAGAATTTAAGTTTCAGATCACAACCTCTGCCCACATTTTGTTTCTTTTATCTTTGCAGGTTAATTTGGATGTTCATATTTTTCCCTCCCTTTGTTTTCAGGCAGCATTACCTGTGGCCTTGTATCACTAACCATTCTGCCTTTTAAGCTCTCGTCTTCCAGTCTATTCCAAAGTTTCTTTTAGTTCTTTTTTCATTGCCATCCCCTCCACCCGCTTAAAACCTATTGCATTTCTACCTTTACTCAGTTCTGATGAGAAGTGATCAACCTCAAACTTTAACTCTGTTTTTCTCCATGCAGATGCTGCCTGACTTGCGGAATATTTCCAGAATTGAGATTTTCAACACCCACAATATTTTGCTTTTGCAAATACAATGACATTTTACTGAAGTTTTTTTTTGTCTTGCACTCATCAGGACAATTCACAAGAAACACCAATATAAAAAGGAAAACAACATTTACATTGTACAATAAGAGTTCTAATTGGTTGATAAGTGGACGCTGATTGATAGAGTGTTGTTATTAAGGATGCACGAAATACTGACAATGACTGACAGATAACTGTCAAGATTTAAGTTTTAATCCAGACAGATCGACTCCAATTTGTCACAGCATTGCTCTAAATGAGTCACTTGGCCAAAAAAAAACATCTCTCTCTCTCATAGAATATAAATGTTGTTATTGCTTTACATTGGTATTTCTTGCAAATTGCTTTGACGTGTGCATGATGTGAACCTTCAACAAAATGTATCATTTTTCAACAATACACAACTTCTGTATTACCAAACAACTGTTTTGCTTTTGTTCTCTGTACATGGTTTGGTTTCTGAAAGTACAAGCAGCACAAGCCAGAAATCTCTGGTAATTTCACATTTAGGACTTCTGTTTCAATTTGCAACCTCAAAAAAAAAAATATCAATCTATGGCAATTTAATCCTATGTTAGTTAACAACCAAACCCAGACTTCCACTTCTAGTAATCAATATGAAATTACAGTTCTGTTACTGGGCATTAGTGAACAAGAGAGAGAAGCAGAAGAGACCAAAGTATCTGGGGAAATCTGGATCAGAAGTATTTAGCTGAATAGGTTGCAGCACGTCTTCTCCTATGAGGAGAGATGCTAAATGGATAACTTCCGTATTGCTCAAGTCTGGCATTTCAGCCAACTTAATCACCATTGTTCAATGGTTTGTAATGTAAAAGGAAGATTATGAGATGATGTGTCACACAAAATACAAATCTCTCATTTTGACATTTGTCTGGAACTTGCGCTCCCAAAAATAAAATGATAATGTAATCTTTTAACTCTGTTAGCAAACCCAGACTTAAGAAGAAATAAAAATCTTCCAAAACAATGACTGATACATGTTTGTTAAGCAAGGGTTTTAAACAGCCACAATGGGCATCTGATCAGCTGTGATCGAATTGAATGGTGGGTCAGATCTGAGAGGCTAAATGACCTAGTGTTCCTTTGTAATTTTCTGACTATCTAGGTTCTCCATTTCAGAATGAATTGGTGCACCAAATATTTAGTATAATTACTCACTCTTATTGCCTCTCCCTGCTGAACTGTCATAGTCACTTGATTCCAACTTTTCCTTCAAATCAGCTTCAAACCTGGCAAGTTCAGCATCCAGCCGCCTGATGTGCTTATCGACCTGCCATAAGCAAACAAATAATTAATATAGCTGACAATTACTTAAACGTTCACGTGCATCATTGTGAGATGATCGACGATGAAAAGATACAGTCCATAGAGCCTGTGACACTCAAACACCAGGCCCATATGAAAATTAAATGCCCCACATGCTACAACATTAAATGGTAATACCAGTAATGGACTTTAGGGAGCAGTGAACACACAGCAATGCAGTTCCACTTTAAATGCTCCTTTAGCAGCTTTGGAATGATATCACTATGTAGAACATAATAAGCATCATTTTTATTGTCATACTATGTCACCTCTGTCCCTTGGGAGAACACCACAAAGTAAATGTAAAAAGATGAAGTGAAATATCTGGTCAGAAAAATAAGTACAAACACGTCTATGTCCTTACACAATCTGCAATACTCCCAATTTTCTCCCACCTTAATTATTCCATCTTCTTGGGTTACTAATCTCATACCAGACCATAGGGCAGCATCAGTTTGAGATATCTTAATATTTTGTACCAACTTACTGTTCAGTTTACTTGGGCCAGACCAAGTAAACTGATTTTAAAAGCAGTTTCTTGTAATTTCTGCAGAGAGTCAGGAAAATAGACTGTTGTTTTAGAAGCATTACTTGAAATAGTGTAAAACCATGCACAGTGATAAAAACAGACTATTGACAATCAGAGCCATTTGTGTACAAGACACCCAATAACACTTTGTGAAAAGCAGCATTTCAATCCCACAAATAATTCAGTTATTTGGTCCTGCTGCCCATCCCTAACTGTTGCTTGAACTGACTGCCTTTGCCTTTGATTGGGCTGTGATTTCTTTTCATAAATCCATGTTGCAAAATGACACCAACCATTTCATACGTCTCCATTGCTAACTGCACTTTGTCATCGCTGTATTCCCTGCATTTATTATACGCGAGTTGAATCTTCTTCAATTGATCAACACGTTGATCCGGAGACAGGTCCTTCACGTTGGAGATATATTCAGTTGCCAATTTGTCAATCTCTACTTTTTTATCTGCAGATAGAAAGCAAAGTAATTAGACTAACACAAAAATAGAAACAGCATCCAGATACTTTATACAATTTACTCCCTGCTTATACACCATATATCTCCCCCTACTTCCACTAATAACCTCAAATTCATACTGTTGCCCATCAGAAAACAAGATGTAACAACTATTCTCCCGTTTCAGGAATGTACCTATTTGCAACTTAGGTACTTCCAAATTCTAAAATAAAACAAAAAACTGCGTACACTAGAGACCTGAAACAAACATAAACTGCCAGAGAAATTCATCAGGTCTGGCAGTTTTGAAGAAGGGTCACTGAACTTGAAACGTCAACTGTTTTCTCTCCACAGATGTTGCTAGACCTGCTGGCTTTCTCCTGCAATTTCTGTTTTAGTTCCAAGTCTTAATTGCTGCAACTAAGGAAAATTAGATACATCCACCCTGAACTTTCAATAATTATAATGGATTTTCTTTTCAAAACAGTAAGGTCATAGAATCGTAAAATCCCCAGTGTGGAAGTCATTTGGCCCATCTAGCCTACAATAACTCTCAGAAGGGCATCCCACCCAGACCCATTCCCCTAACCCCATCCCTGTAACCCTGCACTTCCCATGACTTAATCCATCTAACCCGCACATCCCTGGACACTACAGCGCAATTTAATATGGCCAATCCACCTAACCTGCGCGTCTTTGGACTGTAGGAAGAAACTGGAATACCTGGGGAAACACACACAGACATGGAGAGAATGTCCAAACTTCACACAGACAGTTGCCCAAGGGTGGAATCAAACCCAGGGCCCTGGTGCTGTGAGGCATCGTGACAAAGTCAGAAACTTGTGTCTACATGGGACACCTGAACTTGGATTTAATCCTAGTTCTTGGATCCTTCATTAATAGCCTAGACATGCAACTTGGCAGGCTATAACTCCGGAGAGGCACAGGTTCCTAAAACATCAAGGGATAAATGCTTGCCAACGTTCAGACATTTACTCCAGGAGAATCAATAGAAAAATTAAATAAACTATAACTTGCAAAATATACCATTTTTATGACAGTGAAAGCAGCCAGAAAATTTACTTTAGTAACACACTTCCTAACTCCCCAGTGCCTGTTTATCATCTACAAGGAACGTATCAGGAGTGTGATGGATCCATCTGTTTGGATGAATACAACTTCAACAATCTCAACACCATCTAGAACAAATCAGCACACCATCTAATAACTTAAAACATTTTTAAATCGGACACCACCAACTTAAAACATTCCATTTTTCATATAGTAGCGTAGAGGCAGCAGTGTATACCATGTGCACAATGTACCGCAACAACTCACCAAGGCTTCTTTGACAGCATCTGCTAAACCTACAACCTCTACTACCTAGAAAAACAAGTGCAACAGATGCATCGAACATCACCACCTGCACATTCTCCTGCAAAACACACAGCATCCTTCCTTCACTGTCACTGGGTTGAAATCCTGAAACCCCTTCCTTATAACACTGTTGGTGTATTTACATCACTTGGACTGCAACGGTTTAAAAAGGCTGCTTGCCATCATTTTGAATTTTTTAAAAATTCAGAGCGCTGCTGGCAAGGATAATTACACTCACATCCCATGAACAAATTTTTAAAAAGATTTAGTGTGCAGATATAGACATCATTAAAGGTGGCAATACAGTAAAAGTGATAAAAAGGCATTTACAATTCTTAATATTGTACAAGAGTGGAACAGAACACAAAAGTAGGAGATAGATTAAACTTTTACAAGACCATGGTTAGATCTTATTGGGTGACTTGTAGATAATTGAGCATTATGACGATTTTGTTTGCTTTGACCAGAAAGGTGGTGTTGAAAATACAAGTTTAACAATCACATAATCAGACTACACAACACGCTCAAAAATAGTTTACCCAGTTACTGAACAAAAGTGGAGTATGAAAGAGGCCAAGGAGTAAGCAGGAAGGGAAATGGGATTACTTTTGATCGCAACAAAGGAACAACAGAGCTGACTCACAATGACAACTACATATCTGTTGCAAAAATTCTGAACATTCATTGTTTACATTTCTTAGTCTCAAGTTGTAAAACAGATCTGCAAGTCATAGCTTTAATTAAAAAGAGTATTGGAAAATGCTTTCCAGAGCTACAACACTTTTCTGGAAAATTAAGTGGCACATATTTAGAGACCAAACACCTAATGCAAGGTGCAGTTAAAAATTATAGACACAGGATCACACTGGATGCCAAAATCTGAAAATTCACTTCAACGTGATCCACTGTTGCACAGCATCATGACATCACAAATTCCCAAGACGAGGGGCTTGTCACATATTCCCTAGTTGCGCTATATGCACCTTCAGTTCTCTGGTCTAGGTCCCGCATCAGATGGAAGATTCGCTGAAGTTCACAGGGAAGATTTTCAATACCTGTCGGAACATAGAAGTAGCTTGAATTTTTATTTTCACATTCAGATTCTTAACAGTTATTGAAGGAAATTGGTACATTTTGAATTGAACCATTCTTTTGCAAATTCAACACAGATATAAATAGAGATAGTAGGAACTGCAGATGCTGGAGAATCTGAGATAACAAGGTGTAGAGCTGGATGAACACAGCAGGCCAAGCAGCATCAGAGGAGCAGGAAAGCTGACGTTTCGGGCCTAGACCCTTCTTCAGAAAGGTTTTAATTGTAGTTTCATTGTACACCTTGCTATGTGCAACAGGCTGCTACATCTGCATAATAATTCTGTACATAACAAAGTAGTTCAGTGAACGTGAAGCATGAAAGTTGCATGAAGTGCAAGATTATAGTTTTTTTCTTCATGTTTTCAGCCAGTTAGCTGGATGCAATATGTCAACAATAACAGGACTAGAACAGAAAACTTATGAATGCACTTTTATTGTAAAGAGGAAAGTAATCAAAACATACCAAAATTAGCAAATGTGCCAATTAGATATCAATTAATATTCCCATAACCAGATTTCAAACAACCATTCCTCCTGATTTGTCTTTATTTGCCTCTGCTAGTATTTCCCAATTCGCCCCAAAAGATTCTCAATTACATTTCCTCTCCCCCCTCACATTTAAACACTCCAATAAAACCAACCGCACTCTGTGCGCTTAGATCTAACCCTGGCTTCGTTATTAAGCCTGATGAGAAGGGTGGTGCTGTGGTAGTCTGGCGTACTCACCTCTACATTGCAGAGGCTCAGCACCAGCCCTCAGATACTACTTATGTTCTCCAAGACCACGATCCCACCATGACACATCAGGCCATTGTATCAACTACAGTTACTGATCTCACTTCATCTTGTGACCTCCCCCGGACTGGCTCCAACCTGATAGTCCCCCAGTCCGTACAGCTCACTGCTACCTCCTTCCATAAATCCACAAACAGGGCTGTCCAGGCAGACCCATTGTTTCAGCCTGCTCCTGTCCCACAGAACTCATCTCTTCCTACCTTGACTCAGTCTTCTCTCCCCTGGTCCAATCCCTGCCCAAGTACATCCATGATTTCTGACGCTTTACGCAGGTTTCAAAATTTCCAGTTTGCAGGCTCCAGCTGCCTCCTCTTCGCCATGGACATGCAATCCCTTTACGTGTCCATTCCTCTACCAGGAGGGTCTTAGGGCTCCCTGCTTCTTACCGGAGCAAAAACCTTAACTGTCCCCACC